CCCCCCCCCCCCCCCTGTAGTTACGTCCCTGTGTTTCAAGCAAAGGGCAAAGGCCCTATTTTGTCAGGAGTTTATAGTAATGCCAAAAACACCTACTGAAGTATTTTTAAAAATATTTCCAAGAGTTCAGATGCAACTTACCCAATGTGTTAAATTGTTAAACAAAACATCACAAGTTGGAAAAGCAGTGCCAAAAATATTATATAGAATTTAGATGCTCCCAAGATGTTGTATTGTGAAGATGCAAAGAAATGTTAGACCTGTATGCAGTTACTGCAACTACAGACTAAATCATTCTGCAACACAGAAAACATGCATTATGGTGCCTGCACTCACTTGAGCACCTTTCTGGGCAAGGCCTGAACATTACTAATCTCTGCATGGGATATCATAGTTTTGCATTCTTAGCAGCATATCCAGTGAATAAATACCAGCTCCAGTATATTTTGTGATGTCTACATTTACCAGATAGTAAAATCTGTATTTTCCCTACATAAACCTTGTCTGCAGGCAACCATTTTACAAATGATGGAATTACACTTGTAATACTGGCCAAAGCAAGTGAATGGTTTAATAATGGGGACTATCCAACTTTTCTCCACACATTACTAGCTTTTAATGCTCTGTTAAATTGAAGCATTATATCTTCCTAAAACTATAACTGAAAGGTAATTTCAAATCTCAAATCCTGATGGTCATACTACTGTCCAACACATTTCTGTTATATGTATTTTTGTGACTTTTTAAAATCACAAATCCTGTCACGTACTATTTGCTTCTGCCTCAGCATTTCTATATTTTCAAAACATGCACTACAATCAGTTCTGCAAGACTTATTCTCAACTTTCACGAGAGAATTCAGGAGCTGCTAAACAGTTTCAATTCTTGCAGAAATGAGTGCTGGTGTTTCCAAAGTAGCAGGATCTGCAGCTGCTGTGAAAATTTCCAAAAATCATGCAAACATTAAGCTTAACAGCTAGTCAACTTACTTTTTATTGATGCTATTCTCAATATTTTTCCAAAGAGCACTCCTCTGTCTATATAACCTGTCTTCCCAGATGTCTCAACATCTGCATCTTCCTCCCTGGCCCTGCACATGTTTTGATGGTGATTGAATGATTTCCTGGGAAAATACCTTTTGCATTTGCTGCATCCAGTCCAGTCATCTTGCTTTTTACCAGACATCTTTTTAAAAATTAAGTGAGAAGGTTATTTTTAAATAAAATATGGCACAGTGAAGAAGATATGAAAAAATTCTTCAATAAAATTTTTAGAAAACTGAACTGAAAGAATAAAATAAAAAAATAAAATTTTGAAGAACAACCGCTGCTTCGTATAACCACTGGCGCCTAGCCGATATCGTCCGGATATATCCGATCTTTTCCGATTGTGATTACATTTTATGTCGTTTAATCTTCGGCAACGCTTCGGCGATCCTGAGAATTACGCGCCATCTTTGTTCTCCAGTCAAAAGACTGTCTTCAAGGCACGTGAAAAAATTTGAGAAAAATTTCAGAAAAATCAACAAAATGCCGTTAGAAGAAAACGTATCAAGCGAAAGCAGTTCTGAGTCAAGTGATGAACAGGTATAATTTAAGTTTAAGTGTTAGGAATCTCGTAGAATAAGTAAAATAAAATATATTTTGTATCAACACGAAACCCAGCAAATGGCGACAATGTGCACACATACGCGCCAAATTTTAATATAAACATTGGCCAATTTACTTTCCCAAACCTTCAACTTTTGTGGAAACATCTTCAAAATTGTTTCAAACAGTATTTTATAGGGAGTTTTAAGAAAGCATTGGTAGATTTGCACATAAAACTTTTTATCTCGGTACTTGCCTCAGCATACTTGCTAACTTACTAGCTACAGTTAGCAGACTATACAGCTGTCATACGTTACATCCCAGTTACACGATACCGTATCCACTTGTGTGACATGTACATATGTTGTTCGAAATAAACCGAGTAGTGTCTTCTCATAAAATTTCCCCCTTGGCAATTTCTTATTTTGTCATATAATCACAATTTCAAGTGTTAAGTGGTTCCTGAAATGCAGACTGTTAGACTGTATTAAATAAAGTTCTGTATTGTTCTGCACCATAATATAGGTTGTCGTTACAGGTGCCATTGGTGTTCTGGTATTGAAAACTATGAAAACCAATATCAAAATTATAAAAAATCTGACATTATTGATATTGCATTGCCCTAATGCAGTTAGGCCTATGGGACAGTTGTTTCGGCAGCTTTTATATTATGACAAGAAATGTGACAATTTTGAAGAATTTGGCATTGGTGACAAATAATGGCAACATTGAATTTGTTGAAAGAACATATAATCTGAAGTCATATCTGTTGTGTCAAACCACCTCGCCATTTTTGGCTACCGGTACTGCAAACAGTCAAATTGCAAAAGTTTGCAATTGTGTTTGTGATCTATGAGTATCTTATCACAGAAAAAATGCTGACACACTGCATCACGTCATCTTATCTTGGGGACCAAATTGGCCAAATAATGTCTTCCATTTTCTGGACTTTATCTGCTGAGTTGTGAACGAATGCAGCCAGAGCTGGATGTTTGAACTGTAAAGCAACCAGAGTTGAAAAACTGGAGTTTGCACAGCTCTAAAATATTGTCACCTTGTAAATTTTGTATTTCATTTTTCCATCATATTAATTAAACTCCGACATTCTAACGAAGACTCAAAGCACTGTGTTGATAACTGCGCATAATTAATTAAAGTTTGTATCTTACGTATTTTAGGCAGCGGACAAGAATGATGAAACATATGGTGAAAAGCCAAGCACATCAAAAACTGGTAGAAAGGCACAAGTAGCACCAGCAGCTTCAAAGGGTTATGATGAAAAAATTGTAAGTCTTTTAATTAGTTTAAGTATAATTAACTGTGTGGCGGGGCGCTAAATAACGGTCGATCAACGGACAATGTCCGGCCAAAATGAGCAGTTGTATGGCCAAACTTTTGCATGACCGGTCATTTTGGCCCACCACTTTTTAAAGTATAAATAACAGAAATCGGCATCAAAACTTTGTAATACATTCTACCGGAGAAGGTTGCATTTAGGGGGACTTGGTCAGGCTTTAGTTTAGCTGAATAGTTTGACCGTCCAAAAGTGCAGGATGTCCAAGCCAAAATTGGTTTCCCCAGTAGGAATGTTCGGTATGAGAAATTTCTGGTATCGGTATACCGAAAAAATTATACCGACCGGTTTTCCTTTGATAATTATAAATAGGGGTGCAATTTATAAAGGAAAATTCTTTAATGGAAGTTTAAAGGAAACTTTAAGTAATTCTAAAAGGGAAAACGATAATGTCAAAGCTGTTTTGAACATGTTTCGAACGACATGCATATACTCAGTGTAAAATCTCACTGAAGTGGAAATTCTAAATCATTGCAGTAGAAAGTTTGTTGAATTGCCATTCAGTAGTAAAATAAAGGTTATGGTTTCGCCATATAGTTGGTAAATTTAACACGGTATACCGAAAAATTCTGGTATATCCGAAATTTCGGTATATCGGTATGGTTGAATATCTGGTATCGATATACCGCTATTGATTTAATACCGATATTTTCGGTATATCGGTATACCGAACAGTCCTATTCGCCAGTCACATGACCGGTCACTTTCCTGCCGTTATTTCGCGCCCTGAACAGTAGCACAAAAAACTATATTATCTTCTCCCTCAATATTCTTATCAATTGGTTGTGTTAGCAATTCAATGCACTCTGATTTTACATATAGTGATTGAGTAGTTATGGGACAGAAATTCATAGTATAAATAAAATAAAAGCCATTCAAAAATCTGAACATTCACACCACTCATTCACATCCATCAGAAGATGAAAATCACACCTAAAGTTGCAAGTTTCAACAGTCCTTTACTCCCTTTAGAGTTTAGACTTAAAAGATGAGTGTGTTAAAATTCAAACTCTTGGCTTGTAGACATTGGAAGACTGATATACCTTGCCAATATTGAATTCATACATTACACCAAGCTAATCCTGCTGACTTGTACAACTTTTAGGAAAAAGATCGTGCGACAAGATTCAATTTCCTTCTTGAAAAGACTGAGATTTTTTCTCACTTTATGAACCCTACAAGTGGGAAAAAACCAAAGAGTCCTCTGAAGATGAAAGCACCAGATTTTCCCTCTCCTGAAAGAAAAACATCTGAATCTGGAGAGTATGTAGATATATAACAAATTATTTAGAAAGCCATTTCGTACTGAAACAATAATGTGTCATACTCAGTTGAGAGTACAAGTGTAAAATAAGATGTGTGAACCCGTTGTGTGGTGATGTCATGTTAGTTTGTTATAAAACATTATCAATAGAACATATATATATAAAAGAGAACCCTATATAACCCTTATAATTTATATTATGAAATACATGTAGGTGTCCCTGAGAAGCTTATATTTTAATTTCTTCTATCTTAGTTGTGATATACCGTAAACCTCTGAATTTAAGCCCTGGGCTTATATTCGTTCATAAGCATTTTTTATGGGCTTATACATGGGAGGGCTTATATATGGGGGAGGGGGCTTATACTGTATATGGATGACATTGGATGTTTCTAATAATATTTATTGTACTTGTAAACTATACCGTCAGGGCTTTATCCAAGTACCAACGGTAAATGGAGGTCAAAACTCAAACTTGGATTGAGTTTTTAAACTGAATCTTTCCACCATTTTCACACACTTTAGTTTTTGGAATTCCAAGAAACAGGGTTAATTGAGCTGGGTTTTTTTTTCCAAATTAACACAACATGTTTATGTTATAAAGCTACTTCTATTGTATATTTTGTGTCTTGTGCCCACCATGCTTAGATGGCATGCATGTTTGGATTTCTGATAAATATTTCGATCAAATCAGCACAAAATGAAATGGGATGATTGAAGAATAATAAATATTACAAATAGAAAGTGAATTTTTCGAACTAAAATCTAAAATTTATACAACATTGAGTTGGAAGAGTAAAAAAGCTGCAGAAAAAATATGCTTGAATACTACTACATCGATGCATGGCCTCTTTGGTATTGCACAATGTTTACATAAGATTACATTATTCACAAACCATGCAGTTACATTCAAGCAACATGACGGCAACATAGTGAAGTCTAAGATGCTGAAATAGAAAAAGCTTTCAGGAACTTTGCCCCTACTCACATGGGCTTATACACAGAGGGGCTTAAATTGGGGAGGGTGGCTTATATTTGAAATGGCCTGAATGTTAGTAAAAATGATGCTTATACACGGGGGTGGGTTTATACACGGGGGGGGGGGTGTTACATTTGGAGGTTTACGGTATGTGTTGTCTGTTGCAGTCATCGTCACCGTCACACTGAGCAGGAAGAGGATGCTGAACTGTTGGAGCAATCGAAACATCAGAAAGCCATTGTCCACTTTGAACAGTCACCTTCGTGTAAGTAATACCCATGTATGGCCAGTGGACTACCACGTTGGCCTTTTGTTTAGCGCTCCAAATTGAGATTCTGCAATCCCAGGTCTCATTGAGACTTTAAGGTATTAAATAGATTGTAATATAGATTTAAATATTTTTGTAGTTATTAAGAATGGTGAGATGAGAGACTACCAGATTCGTGGTTTAAACTGGATGATATCCTTGTATGAAAATGGCATCAATGGAATTCTTGCTGATGAAATGGTAAACAAATCAACAATTCAACATTGTTTTATGTTGTTATAAAAATCCCTATGTACTTCAGAGTGATAAATTTTGCCATTATATATGAATTAAGATATAAGGAAACTGAACAAAAAGGAACTTCTTATAATTCCTGCATTATAACCTTGCACTCTCGCAGCCCACCAGTTCTGAAAAAATATTTCGCAGAGAAATATTTGAGAAATGTTTGGGTGTAACTTGCACCAGTTTTACTCTCCCAACATTTTTTTACTAAATATACCCAAGAGGCCACAAAGTTATGAATGAAAATGAAACATTTGGCGGAGTGAAACGCGGCCATGCCACCGTTTTTCTGTGGGTAGTTTCTACATACATAGCTCTATTATCGTGAAATTGTGTTCCAAGTTACAGGGAAAATGGCGTCGCGTAACATTGCAAAATTGACAAATTACAAAACAAGAATCAATAAAACACCTTCTTTTGATGCCTTTCTCCATGCTTAAGCTTGCCTGTCATTAAGTTTCATTAGCCCGAAGACTATAGTGGGCGGAAATCAAGGAAACAGGCTTCACAATTTACGACACTGCATGTCACCGCGATGTGTTGTGATCACAGTCGTCTTCAAATTTTGTCACAAATACGACGAAGTAAAATGATGTCTTTTAGAAAGGTTTAAGTTAGTGATTGACCGATTGTGCAACAATTGGAAAGTACCGATTATTCATGTCACAATCTACCCGATACCGATTTTATAATGACGTCATAATATCAGTCCACCGAGTAAAGGTGACGTCATTCCTGTCAATTTGTTAACGATAATTTCCAACGTAAAATGTTTTACTGCAACCAAAGATCGTTAAGACTGTTAATAAATGGCATGCTTCACGCATTATTTAACATATTGCGTTAAAACGTAACGTGTATCAACGTGCAATGCATATAATTTTTAAAGTGCGTATTTTCTCAACAATTGGTTTTAGACAATCGGAAATATAGATTATTCAATTTTTTCTACCGATTGCGAATGTCTACCGATACGGCAAATACCGGCCCGATGCCGATTATCGGTAATCACTAGTTTAAGGCTGGTTTACACTCAAAGTTTCTATGATCACAGTGGCAGTTTTGCATACATAGGTAAATTCTAAGTTTTGAAGGATTATTAAGAAATGTTTGAGGGAACTGATTTAGTTTTAAACACTGCACAGTCTGTTCACTCGAACATTTCTTATAAAAGCTTCAAACCTTTTTTCTTCAAACTAAATTCCTACAGCTCGCAGAAACTTTGATAGTGTAAACCAGCTGTACACATATGCTTTTAGATCAAAGCATCTTTTGAAATGTCGAAGAATAAGCAAAGAATAACCGATAACGCGTTGTACGAACAGCACTGTAGTCTGTAGCTCAACATGACCTGATATCAACTAGACGAACATGATTTAGTGGATTCTTCTGAGCCCAACTCAACTAAAGCCTCGACTTGATATTTTGCCTCATTGCGCTCAGAACATTATGACGTCACTCAGTTAAATATTATGTCAAAGCTCCATATTTGGTCAATTGAAATGAAGATTTCACAGTTGGCTAACAGCCCATTGGACACCACTAATCAGTTTCAAATATATATATATATATATATATATATATATATATATATATATATATATATATATATATATATATATATATATATATATATATAATATA